AGAACAAGGTTTTTTGGTGCTGATTTTGAGCAGTGCTTAGTATGGCTTCACAGGAGACCCCTATACAAACACATATTCACTCTACCCAGAATCCCCCTGGATTATCACGTCCCTCCCTCACTCGGCTGTTGCCATAGGAAAGCCTTTCACCCCCCGTGTCTGTCTGAAGAGGTGTGAATTCATCACATGCTTTGTGTTGAAAGTGCTGGAGCGATATTGGGTGAAGAGTTCGGCTGTAGTACAAATCCGATCACAGCCTTTTGTCTGAAGAGAAACAAGTGTTTGAGAGAGCAGTGTGTGGATTCGCTTTAAATGGCCACGGTACTGAGATGATCTAGAATTTAGTAAGGGATTTGATTGTAATGATAATTTCACTTTTTCATTTTTTTATGATGAGATTTTTGTTGACTTTCAGAGCAGTTTCCCTTACAGGTCTTTGTTTTGTGTTTTATGTCATATCAAGGAGTTCTCGATCGATCACATGTCAAGATTCTGCCAAGTACCATGCGAATCCTGTATTAACATCTATGTTGATGCTAAAAATGTCATTTTTGTTTGAAAATGTAATCCATACCTATATCCTACCACTAACCCAACCATAATTGTAAATTAGTAGTCGTGCCATGGATGTTTTCACACTGCATGACTATCTGGGGTAGCGTTCTGTTGGTGCTGTGTTTACACTGTAGGATGGATTGGCGACAGGGGGTTTCACACTGCATGACTTTACAATAGGAAGAATCATCGATAACTGTCCAAACTATGTCTCACAACCAAACACACATGAGAAGTGACATGGAAACAACGCAAGGTCAAATAATATATCTTTTTTTATTTACTACTTAATGAGAAAGAAGCCTTTATTGGGGAAGAAAATGGACTTATTTTGCTTACCTGGCTTTTGAAGAGAATTAGCAATTTCTCTCAAACCTTTTTTTGTTTGACCTGGTTGTGATATTGCTCAGATGACATGTCAAACAGACACAGTGCTCCTGCCAAATTTTCACTAGTTTTTTTCTCCATTTCTTAAGTCCAAATAAATTGAAAATGAGCGCTTTTAACTTCTGCCCCAACCTCCCGCTGGCCTGCAGGTAACCACGGAAGTGGATGCTGCTCTCTCATTGGCTGTAGGTAATCGCCAATGTTTTTTTTTAATCAGAACACATTTCACATGGCATAATTTGAATCGCAAACAGGTTCAGATATTTAGCATGCCAAATATCTCACAGGTGTCTGTGACTCACAGATTCTCTCAGATCGCGTCCTTTATATTTTAAACTGTGTAATTGTTGCTCACGTGAACGAGCACCAATTGGCTTGTAATGTCAGACATTTGTCAGCGATTTCTCAAAACCTGTCGGGTCAAAATCAGCTAAAATCATGCAGTCTGATCTCAGTACAATCGTAAGCCTAAACTTAACATAAACGGTAAACATATCCCTTAATTCTGATTGGCTGATTGGAATGTTGTTCCAGGATCAACATAGACGTTAATCCAGGAATATGTCCTGCTTGGCAAAATCAGGTTGACTGTTCTCTATTCAGAGTTTTTTTTCAGAGTTTAATGTTTTTTTCAGTTTCTTTTTTCTTTTTGTAGACAGGAGTTGCATTTATCTGCAGTTTTGATGTATTTTTAGATTTTGCTTTGAATGAAAAAGAGCATTTATTTATTTAAAAAAAGTTGTACTGACACCAAACTTCTCTGAACAAACAGTTTTCACTTAGTTTATTTTTATTTGGTAAATAAGTAATAATTTCTTAACCTTACTGCCCCCATTTTCTTTTTCTATTCTGCTTTATGGTTTAAAGGAAATGCTTTTTTTCTCATTTTAAAAGGTTACATACCCTAAACCTGTGAGCAAATACATACATTTTAATTAAATACATTTAATTATTTGACAAATAAAAATGTTCTTAAAGTACTGACCCTAAACTGTGTGCAGTTACGTTTTATTTTAATCTGTGTTAGGCACTAAAGAAAGTATTATTTTTAATAAAAAAAAAACTTACTGACCTCAATTCAATTCAATTTAATTTAATTTTAATTTAACTTTATTTTATTTTATTTTTTTATTTTATTTTATTTTATTTTATTTTATTTTATTTTATTTTATTTTATTTTATTTTATTTTATTTTATTTTATTTTATTTTATTTTATTTTATTTTATTTTATTTTATTTGTTCCATTGTTTTTTTAGCAGTTCTAATAATCCAGGGGTGTCTAAACTCTGGAGGGCCGGTGTCCTGCAGAGTTTAGCTCCAACTTTCTTCAACACACCTGCCAGGAAGTTTCTAATATATCTTTTTAGGGCTTTGATTTGCTGGTGCAGGTGTGTTTGATTAGGGTTGGGGCTAAACTCTCCAGGATACCGGCCCTCCAGGACCGAGTGTGGACACCCCTGTTCTAATCTTATACAGAAGCTAAAATTTTTACCTCATCCTACCTGTACCAATTTGTTATTTATAATTTGACTTCCTCACGCCTCACCATCTCCTCATTTCATCTTCCAGCAGGATCTCCGAAAGCTACAAGATCTTCTTGAATCTCTGGAAGACACAGAAGCCCACTTCATAAGGTTTGGATGCAATAGTTCTAGGTTGTCCTCACTCTCCTGCTGGTCTCGCAGAACATTCAACGCTGTCGGTGAGTTTTAGACATTGAAAAACCATCGACCGTTGACTGTGCCCTGAGGCCACGCCCCTCTTCAGCCTCATTTAACCACACCCACTCTTTAGTCACACAAGCAGTGCTTTAAACACGGTATATGTCGACCTCTGAAGGGCACCTCTGATATTCCCATATAAGTGTCATTCCAAACCAAAGTAGGCCTACTCAAAACGAAGAATTACAAAGGGTACAACTGATGGCCCCTATAATAAATCATGAAGTTGTTTGTTGCACACTGCGTTCCATTCAGAAGGACTCATTAATATGCCCTAATCCCTTTTGAAGTTGTCATGCTAGAGGGTAAACTATTCGAAGGGATTAGGTCAAAGGTGTCAATCTCAATGCCTGCAAAAGTCAATTCAAATAATGTCAACAACAGCAGCGTGACACACTGTATGAATGGATGTAAGTTCATGGATCTGAATTTACTAACAGTCAAGGGGATTCAAAGTTCCTGGATGAACCTGCGTTATTTAGCGTTTGTCATCTCGGGATAACACGCCTTGGAATGCTGTAACTGATCAATCAGAATCGAGTCATCCAGATTCGTGTAATAAGTAGGCGTGTAATAAGTAGTAGTAACCAGGGTGCGAATTATATATTAAAGATCGGGGTGATCAGTTTTTTCGGTAATGTTAGTTTGTATAGTATACTTCAGTAAATCAAATGTTTGTATGCTTTTAAATTACATCTAATTTAATAATAAAACATACTTCTGATTAGTTATTTCAGTGGTTCCCATGGGTCAATTTATACAAACTAACGAATCTAATTTGGCTTTACTTTTAGGCTATATGTAGATACAAATGCCAATTTTACAATAAAAGTGAACACTTATGATGTCTATCAGTGCTCTAGATCTGCCAGTTTCAGACTTTTAAATGAGATTTTTTTCTCACATAAGCTGATTGGCGTGATTATACATTCACAAAGGTATGAACCGTTATAGGGGTGGTCGAATGTATATTTACACTCAATAGCCACTTTATTAGGTACACCTTACTAGTACCGGGTTGGATCCCCTTTTGCCTTCGGAACTGCCTTTATCCTTCGTGGCATAGATTTAACAAGGTACTAGAAATGTTCCTCAGATATTTTGGTCCATGTTGACATGAGAACATCACTCAGTTGCTGCAGATTTTTTGGCTGTACATCCATGATGCGAATCTCTCGTTTCCCCAATCCCAAAGGTGCTTTATTGGATTGAGATCTGGTGTCAGAACAGTGAATTCGTTGTGATTTTGGGCCCAAAATGTGCCAAGAAAATATCCTCCACACCATTACACCAACACCAGCCTGAACCATTAATACAAGACAGGATGGATCCATACGTTCATCTTGTTGATGCCAAATTCTGACCCTATCATCAGAATGTCACAGCACAAATAGAGACTCATCAGACCAGGCAACATTTTTTCAATCTTCTATTGTCCAATTTTGGTGAGCCTGTGTGAGTTGTAGCCTCAGTTTCCTGTTCTTATCTGACACGGGTTGCACCCGGTTTTATCTTCTGCTGCTGTAGCCCATCCACCTTAAGGTTTTATATGTTGTGCAATCAGAGATGCTCTTCTGCATACCTTGGTTGTAACGAGTGCTTATTTGTGTTACTGTTGCCTTTCTATCAGCTGGAACCAGTCTGGCCATTCTCCTCTGACCTCTGGCATCAACAAGACATTTGCACCCACAGAACTGCTGCTCACTGAATATTTTCTCTTTTTCTGACCATTCTCTGTAAATCCTAGAGATGGTTGTGCGTTAAAGTCCCAGTAGATCAGCAGTTTCTGAAATATTCAGACCAGCTTGTCTGGCACCATCAACCATTAAAGTCAAGTTTAAAGTCAATTAAATCCCCATTCTGATGCTCGGTTTGAACTGCAGCAGATCATCTTGACCATGTCCACATGCCTAAACGCACTGAGAAGCTACCATGTGTTTGGCTGATTAGAAATGTGCGTTAATGAGCAGTTGGACAGATGTACCTAATAAAGTGGCCGGTGATTGTGTATTATCCATTATTTTAACTAATAATATAATAGTTTAAGATGCAGATCAGAGAAAACTATTTCTCACTATTAAAGGGCTGACCTCCCATATATCTTGTTGATGTCCTTCAGGGGGAATCAAGCATTATTACAGGGTCAATCCCTGCCTGTAATTACAGTAACATTATGCAGCCATAGTGCTGAAGTGGCTCTCCTCAGTGAAAATGAGTTTGACGTCCTTGGATTAGGGATTATCATATCTGAACGATAGTCATCCATAGCCACACCCACTTTCTGCATCACTTAACCACTCCCCCTTTTTTCAAACTCAATCAACTACGTCCACCACCATGTACGCACCTTCAGTTCTTCAAAGGTCATAATCAACATTCATTGCTGTCGGTGGGTTTAGTCTTGTAACAGCTCTCTGAACAATGAATGTAACTGTGGCCCAGATTCCAGCCAGCATTCCTCACACTCCACGCCAGTACAGCAGAGATCAGCTTTCCTTTTGCTTTCTTCTGCCACTCTCATCCTCATAGATCTGCAGTTCTTCAAGGAAGACGCAAATAGCAGCAGCCGTTCTGACTGCTTCCTCCTGCATCTAATTGGTGGTTGTGTAAATGCCTGTGTGTGTGTGTGTTTGGAGCGGATAGAAGGAAATGGAGGATGAATGTGCAATCATTTAGATGTTCTTCTCATTTGGCTGTTTTGTCTCTCAAATTATATACTGTGTTCACTGCAGCCTGAAATGAGCCTAAAATGGCACTTGCTGAATGCTGTGTCCTCCCTGACAGCTGTGTGTCTGTTTGCTGTGTGTGTGTGTGTGTGTGTGTGTGTGTGTGTGTGTTTCTTTATTTTAATGTGATTAATGTAGTTTTTAATCAAATACATTTTTTATTTCATTTGATATGTTTGAAAAAAAAAAGTACTAACCTCAAATTTAGTATAAACATTAATGATTTTACTGACTTGATTCAATTTATCTCATTCATTCATTTATTCATTTTCTTGTTGGCTTAGTCCCTTTCTTAATCCGGGGTCACCACAGCGGAATGAACCGCCAACTTATCCAGCAAGTTTTTACGCAGCGGATGCCCTTCCAGCCGCAACCCATCTATGGGAAACATCCACACACACATTCACACACACACACTCGTACACTACGGACAATTTAGTCTACCCAATTCACCTGTACCACGTGTCTTTGGACTGTGGGGGAATCCGGAGCACCTGGAGGAAACCCACGCGAAGGCAGGGAGAACATGCAAACTCCACACAGAAACGCCAACTGAGGTTCGACCCAGTGACTTTCTTGCTGTGAGGCGACAGCACGACCTACTGCGCCACTGCCTCGCCTATGGAATCATTCAATCATTAATTTTCTTTCAGCCTAGTTCCTTTATTTAACAGGGGTCGCAACAGCGGAATAAACCGCCAACTTATCCAGCATATGTTTTACACAGTGAATGCCCTTCCAGCTACAACTGAGCACTGGGAAATACCAACACACTAGTTGTTGCTAGATCAAACACATTCATTTCCTATTTATTGTACTTTATTAATGTCTACCCCCACCCATACCCTAAACCCAACCATCACAGTAAAGTAAAAACAGTAGTTCTGCAGAGTATCATTTATGTTATCTATTAAATTACCCAATAAATTTTATTTTTTGATGTTTACTCCCACCCTAACCCTAAACCCAACTGTCACAGTACTGCAAACATATTAATACAGTGTCATACAGTGTCATAAAAAAAGCCTGCTATATTAATGTGCATTACGCACTTCTGGCTGGCCGCATATCCGATCTAGACTTTACCCAACTGATTGGATTACTACACCCACACACTCTTTGGAGGAAACCCACGCGAACTAGGGAGAAACATGCAAACTCCACACAGAAACGCCAAGTAGCCCAGCCGGGACGCAAACCAGCGACATTTTTGCTGTGAGACAACAATGCAACAACCACTGAGCCACCGTGCCAAAATATGAAATCTGACGGTTCAAAATAATTATACACTAAGAAAATTGCCTTTAAAGTGTTACCAAATTAAGTTCTTGGCAATGCATATTACAAACCAAAAGTTTTAATGGTGGGGCGTCAAGGTGGAGCACGATCACCTCACAGCAAGAAGGTCGAGCCCTGGCTAGGTCAGTTGGCATTTCTGTGTGGAGTTTGCACGTTCCTGTTAGTGTGTGTTTCCTTCAGGTGCTCCAGTTTCCCCAACAAGTCCAAAGACATGCGCTATATAGGTGAATTGAAGAAGCTAAATTGGCCGTTGTGTATGTGTGTGAAACAGTGCGTTTGGGTGTTTTCCAGTGTTTGGTTGCAGCTGGAAGGGAATCCTGCGTAAAACATATGATGGATAAGTTGGTGGTTCATTCCGCTGTGGCGAATCCTGATTAATAAAGGGACTAAGCTGAAAAGAAAATGAATGAATGACGTTTAATGGTGGGGAATGTAGAATATTTCTTAATGGAACAATATCTTTATTTAATATTCTAATGGTTTTTAGCATAAGTAAAAAAAAAAAACGGTTATAACTCATACACTATATTGGCTATTCCTACAAATATCCCATGCAACTGAAGACTTCTTTTGTAGTTAAAATCAGTTATTTTTATATTAATTAATAAATGATCGTAAAATTTCAGTTGCTGCTGCGGAATGTGTCCTCTCTGACGGCTGTGTGTTTTGTGCAACTTTTTTACTGGATGTGTGTGAGATATGGAGCATCTCTTCTGACATCAAACACAAAAAGCTTGGCTGTATAAAATCTCCAGATACTGCAACACAACAGCAGTCGTTGTCTAATCCAGTCTGCTTTTTTGACTACCTCTCGTTCCTCCGTGTTCTCAGTGGAGCCTTATCTGAATAAAATGCCTGAATAATAAAGTCTCAATGGTGCACAGCATCTCTGTCCTGGTTTTCAGTGTTTGTTGTCTCGTCTTCTTATTCTGATTCTGTTTTTAAAAGCTCAAACACGAGTAACATCGAGGAGTGATATTATCTATAAGCATGTCTTAAAAAACAACTATATTATTACTATCAAAGTGTCCCTGAAAAGTGGATGAGGTTATAAGGTATATTTGAGCAAGCCTCATCAGCTTTGCTTCAGATTTTTAAAGTGACACTGATTAATCCCATTCATTTAATTGGATTGTTTATATGAATATATTATGATAAAGTAAGTTCAATCGTTAATCAATTTATTTATAACTAATCAAAACATTGAACAAATATTTATTTGCTAAAGAATCATTGGTTTCTTAAAAGCTTACTGACCCATATTTTACTTAAATTTTATTTGCTTTATGTGCTATATAAAATATTAATATTTACATTTTTATTCATTTGAATTGATTTGATAAATAAGATTATTAAATTATTTAATAAAACATAAAATAAATGTATTAATAATTTGATTATGAAATTATATAACATTTATATAAATTAATATTTTATAAATTAAATTAATTTTATTATTAAATTGTATAACAATATAAATAAATATTTTAATTATTAAATGTATTTTATTATGAAATTATATAACAATATAAACTAATATTGTAATTATTAAATTACATTTAATTATTTTATATAACATTTAATATAAATAATGTTTTAATTATTAAATTAAGTATATTCATTGATTAATTATAAAACAATTAATATAAATTAATATTTTAATTATTAAATTATTTTAATACTTCAGTTATATGATGGCCAAATAACGTTAAGATACTAAGGTATTTATGTATTTATTTAAAATTAAATATTAATTTAAAAATTAATGTATTAATTTATTTTTATTTGTTGTTGGAAGAAGTACTATAAAATTACAAAATGTGAAATATGGTTATTTTATATTATAAAATTCTGTTCTTGTTTTTAAAAGTAAAATATATGGTCACAGTACAGTGCTTAATGTAAGTGTTTCTTTTGCCGCTCTTTGCTGTGACTGGTGGAATTTTATATAACACTATGGGTAATGAAGTTTTTTTTTTTTTTTTTTTTTTGCTTTTGCTCGGATTCCACTATCAACTAAGTGTAAAGGTCAGCCTGACAATTTTACATGTTGTCGGTTTAGTGGCTAATTCATACGAGTTTAGTTGTACGAAAATACAAAAAGGAGACATGACACCCACAACCCCATCCCTAAACCCAACCATCATTAAGGGATAAGCAGATTGTAGAGATTGTACGAATTCATATGAAATAGCCACTAAATCAAAAGGTTACGAATTGTCATAAGATTGTGACTTAAATGTCTGTCTTTAACTGTTTATTATATGAAGAATCGGATATATGGAAAAAAATGAAGGAAATTTTACTTATTATTGTTTTACCTCCCAGTCTGTAACTTACGTACTGTATAATATTCTAAGTGTGACCTTTCAGGATCTACAAAGTGATATTTTTGCTCTAAATTGTTTTTGTTATTGTATTACTTCAAAACAGAAAGCACTGTAACATCTTTTGCGGATCTATGAAGGTGCTATAAAGATTTATTGTCACCTGTGCTGTAATTCATAACTGTTAGTTCAATAAATTCAACAAATTAGGATTTTATGATTCTTTTTGAGTCCTATAGTGGTTTTGGGGAACACAAGGGCCAGCAGACATCAAATCCACTTCGCTGGGATCAGACTTCCTTGCCTGAAGCTGTAAATGAAATAATCAAATGTAACGCAGAACGACAGTGTCTCTCTGAGTTATTCTCAGCATTATGTAGCCTGACAGGCACACTTTTCTATTTGTCTTATTTCAACAGAAGTTAAAGGGACAGCTCAACTAAAAATGAAAAATTACTGTTCATTTATTCACCCTCAGGCCCTCTGACTTTTTTCTCCAACATTTTCTTAGTTGAAACTGTGGTCCTTGTTGATAAAGAAAAAGTCAGTGGCTACTGGCCCTTTAAGAGTTGAAATTTGACTCATTTTTTAACTCATTTGTAAAAATATTGTGAAATAAATAATATGAAATAAACCTGTACAATAAGAGAAATGTGAGATTCTTGTAACATGCATGACCAACCAATACATACTATCTCTTTTGAGCTGCTAAAAGTGTCAATAAAAGTCACTTAGTTTTACTTATGTCAAGATAAAAAGAAAATATGTCAGAGCAGAGACAAAATGCAATATAAATAAATACAGATTTAAGGAAAATACCCACAGCTACAAGGTTAACAATTTCCTGTAAAATCTACTGTAACTTACTGACAGCAGATATATATATATGGAGCAGACAATTTACAGAATTTTATGTATATCTTTACTCTTAAATAATTTTCACAATGCACATACTGTCTGAATGTCCTACAGTAAAATGCAGTTCATATTACAGTTAAATACTGTAATTTATAAAAACCGTTACAGTACATTTACTGTTAGGCCTTTTGAATACATTTTTTAAACATACTTTTATATTTTCTATAACAGAACA